CACCTCAATATCACCTTTATGTGACATCAACTGGGATTTAACTGTGAAACGAACTGTCAAACAAAATGAACGATCAGAGCTTAGAAATTTATCGTTTAAAAGTCAGCATTTTGTTGTCAGTATTATATCAGTTTCCAGTTGTTTCTGCCTTAAATTGGGTGTAATGGATTATTTTAGATACATTACACTAAATTGCGACTGGTAGTTCAAATAAATTAAATAATCGCTCGGGGTCTGTTTAACAATCAGTAACACAAACTATTTAAAAAATGGTGGCTAATTGACAACTATTCACTCATCATATAATCAGTTTTATCGGTTCCAAGACAATTGGTGAAGGAACGAAGACTTCGCACAATAATTAGAAAGATAAAGGGCCACCATTTTTGCCACTATTACTAAATAATTTTAAAGTTCTTATCTTTGCAATATCCACAGAACATTTCTTTGATTTCAGTGTCTGTCCATCCTTCTCAAAACATTTCTCTTCCTGAAAGTAGAAAATGTGCATGTGATAAGTAAATGCTTACTTTTCTAGAGGACGAAAACTAAAGATTAAAAGTTTGTCTAGGAGTTTTGCTCTTTGACACAATTATAGAAAAAGGAAAAACATCAAAACCTCTTTTAAAACGTAATTTACAATGAAGCAAGGACCACTGAGTAGGGACCCCTTAGACCTCCACGTGGCTGCATTCAAATCCAAAATGAATAAAGTCGTCAATAGATTTATCAAGCAAAACATTTTTGTTGGAGCGTTTCGCTAAAAATGTTTTACTGTCATAGGTCTTGCTTTTCTCGAAGCCAACACCCTAATATAGTCGAATTTCGAGATATGAAGAGTCGCTCAGACCGAGCAAACGATTCGTATTACGTCATTTAACTGAGATATGTCTCGTTTGGATTTCCTATGGAAGCGACATTGGTAAAATTTCCGCACAGCCCCATACTACATTATGCATTCAGTTCTTGAATAGAGAAAACAATGATAAAAACAATACATTTCCATTGGGAAAACAGATTTGTTTTACAATATTTTGCTCTTTGACACAATTATAGAAAAAGTGGCTGTGAAAAAAGGGGCTGTGCGGAAACTTTACCGCGACATTTTCCAAAAGTAATGCTCACCTGCTGTTGTTATGACATAAAAGTACTTTCGTTGCTCTTCTTTCCAGGTCCAAGGTCTTCTTCCTTCCAGATCTAAACGTCATGTTTAGCACAACGAACGGCACGTCTTCGCTCCTTCGACGGCGGACAGTGTGGTTTGCTAAAAATTCTACAACATCTGATGAATATGGATTAACGACTGCAGCCAATAATAGGCTGGTACGTCAAAGATTTGGCGCGGAGTTCTGTTTGCACGCTTAGCCAGCTAATCAAGAATCGAGCTCAATCAAAGGCATTGTGTGTGACGGATTGCATGCGACAAGAGGAAAAAATTCACGGCTGCTGAATTTTAGGAACTACTATGTGATCAGGATTTACTCTAACGCTCGAAACGAGCTAATTTGAAAGACCGATGTCAGTAAAAGAAGTAGATCTCAGTAATGAATAATGTAATTTCTGACTTTT